CTCAGTCCTGTCCCCTCCCCTGTGCCCCCCTGACGGCCTCTCCTCTGTCCAGCTGGACGCAGATGACGCCGTGGTGACATTTGACGAGGCCGAGGGGACGGACGTGTACGACGAGGTGCAGATGCCCAGTTAAGGGCCGGCCCCCGCCACCCCCCAGCCCCGCTTCCACCTGCAGTGCTGCCATCCCGGCGCCACCGGGCAACCAGGAAGGGCTGGGGACACGGTCCCCACCTGCCCACCCTGGGGACGGAGCCTTTTCTGCTCTTTCCGCGTTTTTGTCGATTTTTAAAAATATTTTGGATGATGTGATCTCACCCCGCTTTGCTGGGGAAGGGCTGCCTGGGCTGGCCCCACGAGCCACCCTCCACCCGTGGCAAGCTGGGATGTGTCACTGTCCCGTCCCCAGGGCCACCACCAGCCACCCAGCGAGGGGAGGAGCTGGAGGAAGACCCTGGAGGGAGGAGGAAGGCAGGGACAGAGATACAGCAGATGGGACCCTCCCCACTGCCCCCCTCCCGGGGAGCCCCCCCAGCTCAGCCCAGCCCCTCTCCCCAGCTGAACTTTGAACAAGCTGGGACGGAGCCCTCACCCTGTGGAGCCCTTTTCCCATTTTTTCCCCATTTTTTCCCATTTTTTCCCATTTTTCCCCATTTTTCCCCATTTTTCCCCATTTTTCCCCATTTTTCCCCATTTTTCCCCATTTTTTCCCATTTTTTCCCATTTTTCCCCATTTTTTCCCATTTTTCCCCATTTTTTCCCATTTTTTTCCCATTTTTTCCCCATTTTTTCCCATTTTTCCCATCACTTGCTCCGTGGGATCCCTGCAGCTGCTCCGCTGCGATCCCAGCACATCCCGGAGTCAGGATGTAAATAGCCCAGCAAGGGGGTTCACACATTTACAACAAAAACAATCACGCTAAAAACACACCAAAAAAAAAAAAAAAAAGCTTCCAATTGTGCTGCTGCTTCTGCAGGTAGAATTCACTTAGAACCAAGCAAAAATAGAAAAAAAAAAAAAAAAAAAAAAAAAAAAAAAAAAAGGTTGAAAAAACACCATAAAAATAGGAAACAAAAAAAAAATAGCTGCGAGGAGTGATCTGTATATTTGATGCTACTGGGGGGTTTGTAATTTATTTTTCGGGCTGGTTGTGCCCCGCTGCAGTGGGGCCATGTGCGTGTGTGTATATACTAGAGAATTAGAGCAAAATCTAGAATTTTTTAGAAAAGATGATTTTAAGAGATCCTGGTCAGGGCCTAAACTCTATGGACCAGTCTGGCAGCACCATTTTACTGATAAGTTAGTGGTAATTAGTTAATTAGTCCTCTTTATTTTTATAGCATTTCAGGTAACTCTGTGTAGTTTTTCCTTGATTTTTCCCTGGCTTGCTCCCCATGTCTTGCCCCATTTTCCTTGGGATCCTTCCCAGTCCAGCCGAGCATCCCCTGATCCTGCCAGGGCTGATTCTGCAAGGGTTGGATGTGCCCAGGGTGCAGAGCACCAGATCAGGTTCCAAATTTGCTCCTTTTTGCATAAATCAGAGCAGGGGATCCCAAAATCAGCATGGGGGGGTGGGAAGGGGCAGCCACAGCCAGGGCTGTGCTGCCTCGTGTTTGGGTTGGTTTAGTTTTATTAATTACGTGTCTGAAATAAAAATGTTTTGATCTTTGGGGGTTTCTCCTTCCCTTCCCCACACCTTTGTATCAGGCTTTAATAAACAAATTAATAAAATCAGAAAGGAAACGGGGGTTTTCTTTCCAGCCGGGAGTTTTCTGGGACGGTGCCCTGATTTCCCCCCAGATGAGAGGAGCAGCATCTTCTGAGGGTGTCCATCCCCCAGGATCCCCAAATCCTCGCTGCATCCCAGCGCTGGGGATCGCTCCCCGGGATCACCCCAGGCTGCTCCACAGCCATCCCCGGAATCTCATCCCCCTCCAGCTCCCTGAACCCCGGGGCTGTGCCCATTCCAGGGATGGGGAATTTCCAATCCCGTGCTGCTGGCACAGGACACAGAGCAGCCCCTGGCACTGGGCTGACCCCGATTATCCATAATCCCATTGAGGAATGGGTGACACCGGCTCCATCGGCGGGGCCGTGGGAAGGGCCATGCCCGCTCGCCCCCAGCCTTTCCACGGGGCAGGAATTGCGAGCAGCACCCGCAACCGCTCCCGACCGGAGCCCCAAAGCCTCTCGGGGGCCGGGAGAAATCCCAGAGTGGCCACCGGGCTGTCCCAAGCCCAGCACAGCTGCCAGCCCCGTTTTCCCCAGAGAAGCGCACGGATGGATCCGGCAGCTCCCCGTCCTTGTGCCGGCTCAGCTGGGCAAACCACACCGGGAGGGCTCCAATGTGCCACCCCTGCCTCCAAATGCCGGCCACGGCCACCTGCAGCCAGCCCTCACCTTTCCCAGCCTGGGAAGAGTTTGTTGTTCCCTGGGACACCGCAGCAGGCCGCGGGATCCAGCCCCGACAGGATCGGGAATTTGGGTCAAGCTCTTCCTTGAACTTGCCTGAGCCCTGGGAAATGGGAGGAGTGTCTTGGGCAGGAGCCTCCCTCCAAAATGGAAATATTTCCCCCCTCTGAATGATTGTAATTGTGAAATCAAGGGGCTCTCAGGCAAAGATATGGGAATAGGAAAAACAGTTCTTTACTAGGAAAATTAAAATAAAAATGCAATAGTACAGAAACGACCACCGGCAGTCAGGGTACAGCCCGACAGGCTGTTGGGCAGGGTGTTGGTGGCAGTCCCAGCCGGTCTCAGACTGTACCCAGGTAGGAATGCTCGGCTCCTCCCCCTGGCTGGAGCATCTCACGCTGGGACGGTGGAATTTTATCAGTCGTGCAGTGAGATTCGATGGCCCATCAACCAAAAATCCCCCCTGGAGGGAGGGTGGGTCGCGGAGGAGATAAAGAACCCTGCCCCACCCGGGTTTAACAGCTGGCAATAGAACATTCACTCCTGGGTACATCTGGCACCGCGACCCGGCACGGGGGAAATGGGGAAGGTCAGCAGTGACGACGGGGAAATAAATGCTAATTAGCTGGTTGCTAATGAGGGGGGAGCATGGGGCTCCAGAGGGGGATCCCGTTGGAGCATCACCCCGGAAAGGGAGAAGCCCGGTGCCCGCAGCATCACCGGGCGCTCCGGGCCACCCGCGGGCAGGGGACACGGATCTGCCGCCGGTGGCACTGCTCGTGCACTGGGCAAACAAAACCCTCCAAACCTGGCAGCTTTATCCCCCAGAAATATTCACTGACACAAGTAACAGCAAATAAAGATTCCCGTGGTCAGGAGCGAGGCCCGGGAAGGCCGGGCAGTGAGGGGGGGTTGTTGGGGTGAGCACTGGGGAGGGTCCCCGTTCCCTGCTGCAGGCTCTGCGCCCGAGCCCCAGCTCTCGGGTGAGCCTTGATGGTAACAAAAGCCACAAAACCACGTTGGGAGACTTGGGACTGGAGCACATCGACAACTCTACTGATTAAAAAAAAAATCTAAAAAATTAAAAATGTCAGTTTTCATGTGTTGGGCCTGATTGGCTCTAAATAATTTATGTTGGTTTTGTTGTTTGTTTTTTTTTAATTTTGTAATTTTTTCTCCCTTGAAAAATAGCGAAAACTCCTGAAATTCAGGGATCCAGCCCAACCCTTTTTCCACAGAGAATAAATACATATATTTTTAATTTTAAGCTCTCACAGGCGGGATTAAGCACCCGGCGCCAGAGCGGCCTGGCCGGGCTTGGCACAGGCGAGGGCAGGACGTGGCGGAGGAGCCGGCTGTCCCTCCGCCTGCCTGATCCTTCCCTTCGGGATAAATCCCAAATAAGCCACTTGCAGAGCCAGGCACCACCCCCGCACCCCAAACCAGCCGTGGGGGGGATACCCAGACCTAGGGGTTATTATTATATTTCTTATTTCCTTTCCCATATAAACAGGCGTGAAATCCCCCGGCTCCCGGCCGTTCCCACGCGGTCAGCCCGGGAGATGTCCACAGCCCACCGGGCGGGCTGACCCCGCATTCCCAGACCGCGTCCGGCATGCCCGGCCCCGGGGTGTGCGCCGGTAGCCCCGAGGTGTGTGCCGGTAGCCCCGGGGTGTGCGCCGGTAGCCCCGGGGTGTGCGCCGGTGGTCCCGGGGTGTGTGCCG